GTGACCTCTTAATAGATGGATTAATACACTGTAGGTGACCTCTTAATAGATGGATTAATACACTGTAGGTGACCTCTTAATAGATGGATTTTAATACACTGTAGGTGACCTCTTAATAGATGGATTAATACACTGTAGGTGATCTCTTAATAGATGGATTAATACACTGTACGTGACCTCTTAATAGATGGATTAATGCACTGTTGGTAACCTCTTAATAGATGGATTAATACACTGTAGGTGACTGCTTAATAGATGGCCACTTAATACAGTAGGTGACTGCTCCACAGAGGTTCTGTTATATATCAAAGCCAGTATAATTTCTTTATACAAAATTTTATTTATTTTCTTTTCTTCCATAGGTTGCGGGTTTGATATTTTGGACATTGGATGTTCAGGGATAAATGAGGTTGTCATAACACCAAATCAACAAAAGATGAAATGGAAGCATTTAAGCACTGTAAGTTGAAACGATTACAAGCTAATTAATTTATCATATGAATTCTCTCTTTTTGCAATTGCCTTTTACTTTTAAAATGAGTGTTTATCAGTGCTTATGGAGAGGGGAGAGGAGTGGGGACTGCTTATCCCCTGGCTGCTAGTTTCAAAGGGGTTGGCTGTAAGTGCAAAAGTTTTAGACCTTAGTACATAAAATTATTTATCCTTAAGGTATTGCGATTGTGCATCGTGCTCATTCATTTTCAAAGTATTCAGTGTTTGGGCTTCCTGTAGTGAAGCTCTATCAATATGGCAGATAAAGCATTTTCATCTTCAACGGCAACTATCTAAACATCTTACAGGGTGACCTACCCTGATTTTTCTACAGTAAGTCATATCAAAAAATGAAGGTAGATGCACACTACTGGCTGAGAACCTGTGAAAATCCTGTGAAAAACCTGTGAAAAATATCTCTGTAATTTAGAAATTTCACAGGATTTTCAAACATCCAGACCTGTGAAAAGGAACACTTTCACAAGTTCCAGAACCTGTGAAAATTTAACCTGTGAAAAACCTGTGAAAAACCCATGAAAAGAATTCACAGGTTTTTTCACAGGTTTTTTACCCCACAGGTTTGAAGTTGTCAAAAACCTGTGAAAAGGGACACTTTCACAGGTTCAAAATGCTGTGAAAAACCTGTGAATATTATTTTATTAGAGCTCATTAATCAGAAGTGCTTATTAACACTGGATAGAGACAACAAAGTCTTTATCCTCTTTTAGTAGCATCAGCCAAAATTTCCATACAGCAATTACCGATACTCCTTTTACTGTATTTTTTATACTAATATCCAAATATCTGGGCTGATCTAGGCCACATTATTAGGGCACTGCTGTTTTATATGACATTGTTTACATTCAATAAACTTAACTAAATTAAAAGGTTTTTTTAATAATAACATGCATGTAGGTAAGCTTTTCCATAAGCAATATGTAGAAACTCAGTAAATAATAGTTTCCAGCATAGAATTGTATGATATTTTCAGGATCCTATTCCTGACTAGGGAAGCACAGGTGCATAGCAGTGAGAGTGCTCATCTCTCACCAATGCAACCTGGGTTCAAGTTCTGCAGGGCTTGTGGTGTTGTTTTGTGAGTAGAGTTGCTTTTCATGGTTCTCTCTTGTGCTTCTGAGGGTTTTCTGAGTTTACTGGTTTTCCTCCCTCCGCAAAAATCAACTTTTAAATTCCAATTGGAATTCAGTGGATGAAGAGCCACTCACTCTGTTAGAAAAATGCTACTGTTATCTTTAAGTAGGATTGTAAGCAGGATTGTGCATCCTATTCACGACACTCCTAATGATATGCAAAGATGAAATAACTTACAATATCACTTTGTTATTGGCTAAATGCACATATGCATGTGAAGGACGCTAACTGAATGTCTATAAATAAAAAATGGACCAAGCTGTTTCAAGCTTGGCTTAACATGCTGATCAAACTTTTTCCCATTCCTTAATTCAGCTGAGCATGAATGAGAGTGTTGTGGAATAGAATACTAGGATTTTTTATAAAAGAAACTTTTATAATGTCAAGTTAGATTTACTGTAGCTGTTGATTAGTGTCATAAGTATGATCATATGCCTTCAAAATTAGAATTATATAAAAAGCATTCAGCTGTTTTCACAGATTTTTCACAGGTTTCTCTTTCAACAAGCTTTTATCGTGCTGAAATTCACAGGTTTTTCACAGGTTTCTGTTTCAATGAGTTTTTATCGTGCTGAAATTCACAGGTTTTTCACATGTTTCTGTTTCAATGAGATTTTATCATGTCCAAATTCACAGGTTTTTCACAGGTTTCTGTTTCAATGAGTTTTTATCATGTCCAAATTCACAGGTTTTTCACAGGACTGGTTTCTGTTTCAATGAGTTTTTATCATGTCCAAATTCACAGGTTTTTCACAGTAAATTCTCCACAGATAATAAAATTCACAGGCTTTTCCCACACAGGTTTAAAATGTTCACAGGTTTTTCAAAGGTTTCAAAAATTAAGATTTTTCCAAKAATCGACATGTTATCAGCCGTGTAAAATTCACAGGTTTTTCACAGGATTTTCACAGGTTCTCAGCCAGTAGTGATGATATTTGGGCTAGATTTTGAAAATGCCCAAAAATTTGGATCATAAAGCACAGTCTAAATGTAATATTGTTTTGGAAATTTACTTAATTGAGAACTTATTCTTAAACACAATTAAAAAAATCATTTATTTATATGTTTATAGTACACTCAACAAAATTACTCGACTCTGGTCGAGAGGAGTACAATTATAGCGTTAATTGTACTCCGTAGGAGTACCGAATTAAGTCGCTATGGCAACACGGCCAAAACAATGTCAAAACAATTATTTTCTATCATTTTGTACTTAAAAACCATATAAATAAAATTTCAAAGCCGTAAGAACTAATCTTTTTTATGCATTTCAGTTGCGCGATGGACTGAAAATCGGCCGCCAAATAGACAAAGATGAACGGCATCGCTTCGCATTTTTTACTAAAATTTTGTTGAGTGAACTATAAACAAAAAGTCGCATGATCTTCTCGTACAATTTGGAATTAATAGACACTCRTAATGTTTTGAAAGTTCTTTAATTGCACTCGCCTAAAGGCTCGTGCAATTACAAGAACTTACAAAACATTACTCGTGTCTATTAATTTCCAAATTGTACTCGAGATTGTGCGATTTCCTATACTAACGAATGTATCATTTGAAATTGTTTATGTTATTGTTTCCAAGCGATATGGACTAATAATTACTGACCTTATCAAAATTCATTGTTTTCAGTCTGCATTATCCCCACGAATGCATAGAGGAAAATCAGACATATTTAATTTAGTTCATTCATTATTGGCTTTGTTTCTATGATAAACAAGCTAGAAAGAAAACAATTGGATTTTGATAAGAACAATAATTATACTAGATAATTACTTCAGCATGCAACATTCGTAGGTATAATGCAGGCAGCTGAGGGCTACGCCCTGAAAACATGGCGGCAAGCCCTTTTTTTTTAATTGTATTTTCAACGAATTTGGGGACCCCATTTTTTATTTCATATTTTCATACTAGAACTGATAATAAATGTTTCTGCCAAATTTAAATATATATATTTTGGAAAAAACAGGCACAATCACATTACCTACCCAAACCCCCCACCCCATCAAAGGAAAAGCTGTTCTTATTGCAGCTATTCCCAAGCATCATTTAGCCCTAAAAGCTTCTTAAGAAAGGTATTTTTTATGTACATGGCTTTAGCTGCCCTGTGGATTACCTGTGTGGTTTGAAAATAACAGAAGAAAGAAGATGGAAGAATATTTATGTGAAGCAGACAAACTCAAGATACATGCCTTTAATAATACCCAAGGGTAGGTTTTATTTATTAGTAAAAATATTTATTATTGCAAACAAACAAGGATTTTATTGCCATATATCTGAACTTAAAAGAAAACCAGTTTGTTGATTGAAGTGCATCGCTAATTAGTTCCTTTTCTTTTATGTACAGGATCAAACACTAGGGCAGGAATGCCCTCGCCTGTGTGTTTGATCAGATTTAATAACCAGCCCCAATCAGTGATTTAGGAACAATGGAATTGGATATTTCATATTGGTCTGATATAAATGTCCCCCGGAAAGGTCTACATTTGAAATATAGACCTGTACCAGGACATTATTTAGGATAACAACCCCATTACACAATGTGATTGAGGTGTGGCTGGTTACTAATGCTTGCACTCTACTGAGTAATATTTAAGAGCTTTCAAGTTGTGGCGCATTATTGGGTTCAACTGTTCACAAAAACTGCTAAAGTTGAGCTATGAATTATGTAGTAATTTTGACTTTTACCTTAAAATAATTAGGACTTTGGACAAAAAATCCTGTCATGCAGAAAATTTAAGTAAGAAAAATCTTTATAGCTGAACTGTTTTTTTTTCCTTCGAACCCGAAAGTGTTTTTTTTTTTCCATATGTCGTATTTAAAAGCTATATTTATTTATCATCATATTTTGTCTTAGCTTTTGGCCTCGTGAAAAAGAAATTGAGAATGCAATGGTAGCTGAATTATGTGCTGTTCAAACATCAATAAAAGTTGAACGCAATCCAAAAACAGGAAAACTGAGAGGCTTCAATGAGGTAAAATGAAACTAAATGGACCTTATGGGTTGTGATGCAATGTTTTCACATTACAGATCACTTGTCAGTCACTAGAGTATTGTTTCTTTGTTTAACAATTATTGCTCCTGAGAATGACACGTGATCTGAAATGGGAAACATAGCACCACTAGGAATAAAGTCTATTAACATTGCTCTCCAAAACCTAGAAAGAAATAATTGTTTACTTGTGGTGCTTGTTTGTTTTTATGTTGTTGTTTGATTGATTGCTTGATAGGTCGGGAGGTAAAACAACCTATGTGATATTTTTTCGCTTTACAGGTTTTCAGTTTGGAATCAAGCAGTTCAGGGAGTAGCTCCATGGCCTTGAACAGGCAGCCCTGTGCGTTATCTGAACCAATCAAAGGAAAATCAACGAACTTTCCATTTTTTCCTGGTACAGTCTTTTGTTTTGACTTTCGAACTGAACTAGTTGATCGAGAACGTCATGCATTAGTATATTTTACGTGGAATTTTCGGAGCTGTATTTTTGAGAACGCTTTAAAATTTAAAGAATGAAAATTTTAAAAGCACACCATGTATATAGTCTAAATATTTATTTTGAATCCAGTTCTCGGGACGTCAGTTCCTGTGCACTATTAATAATACCACGTAACTATTTTGTCGTTAGGTGGTATGGATCACCTAGAAACTAAAAGGATAGAGGAAGACTCAGCAGAGTTGAATTTTGTCACAGGTTAGCATGTGTTTGTCAAACCTCTGCTTTGTAAATCACAGTGGGTCTTTCCTGATATATATAACAGTCTAACGAGTAAGGTGCTCAAATTTGTGGAATTCGACTTTATCAAAATGTGCTGTTGATTTTATGCTTGAAAAATTTTCCCTGGATAATTGCTAGAAAATACCTTTTCTTGACGCTTGTAACCAACTTTGGTGTTTCTTGTTAAGAACTTCTGAACCAGGTGCTTCCGGCTGTAGATGTTGGCCGAATGCAAGCAAGATATTCTTTATTAGAAATATATATTAACGGCTTTGGCTTTTGAGCTGAGCACAGCTTGTATCGGAAAAATCCCAACAGTGCCATGCAAGGCTCTAAATAATTGAAGGCCCTTTCCTGCTTTCGTTTGAATGTTAAAGTAATCTGTAGAATGTGTACTTGTTACAGGGTTGCTAGACACTCCTCCAGGCTTCGACGGTCACATCAAATTTGATGATGACAAAAGCAGAACAGCACCAGGTAAACCTGTTTGTCCTGTTTGCTAGCGCTGTTGCTGCTGTGTTACAGGGAGTAACGTTCGTAATGTTAGTTAAACTGGCTGGAGTGCGATTTTGTCATATGTCAAGTGTTTAGAAAATTGCACAAACTTGTGGTGTTTTTTTGACGTCACGAATTTTACTCAATTCCACTAGGTGAAGTGCAAGATTTTATAGTTTCTGATGTTCAGTCATATACAGATCTGGAGGATCTAGAGTATAGCGACCACGATAACAGTGATGATGAATGTGATGATAAGCAAACTGTGGACGAAAAAGAGGTAAGCCACTTTGGAACTGCTAATATCGCAGTGACTGGAAACAATGATTGAGTTTGTAACCTTGAAACCTTGGCACGAAGTAAGTAATGCTTGCATTCTCTATCCATAAACACGTGACTCATTTTAAAGACATCGATAGTAGATTTAATATTGATAATAAATTATTGACTTCTCCATTTCTCTACCTCATATTAACTACCACTGTATTGCTTTGATCACATTTTTGTTCTTTTGTTCCTTCCTTCCTTCCTTCCTTCCTTCCTTCCTTCCTTCCTTCCTTCCTTCCTTCCTTACTTTAATTTCCATACGCAGTTCGCAGTTCGATCGTTGTACTGCTAAAACTTGGTTGATGAATTTACACCTACCTAAAACAAAAAATTAAATTAATCATAAAATCAGAATTTCACTGAGAATGTCCAAAATTCAAATCTGAAAATCTGACAATTATTAACTTATTTAACAGATTTTGGCTGATGAGTTATTTTATCTCTTTCATTCGCTCCTTTTCTCTCGATTTCGAGAAAGATAATAGTTTGATTCCGATATGTAAAGATCGTTGTCAAAAATATCGCGGGCGAGGAATAGTATAATATTCTAAACAGGAATAAATTAATATGCATTAATTGGTTGCTTTTTTTTAAGGAAAAAGAAGATTTAGGTTTGGCGTCTGAAAAGACAGCTGAGCCTGAGCAAGAGAAGGAGAAGAAGGAGAAGTGGGCATTCATGATTGATGTATCCAAGCCAGTGGTTGATTTTCATAAAAAAGTACTTAACATGGCACATAAGGTCAGTCATGCGCTTCTAAATAATATTCCTCTTCTACCCTACTAAGGGTTTTTATAAGCGTACTTAAATTAACCAAGGAAAGGGCATTTTTAAAGTTTTTGATAGAAAGGCTAGAAGCTTTAAGGTTTCCTCCACAAGACCTAAAAAGATAAATTTCATCTGAGTGCCATCTGCAGGCATCTGCGTGCCCTGACTTAGATCAACCCAAATGTTGTTTCAGGGTTCGATACAATTAAATATGTTTTCTTCGTGTTTCTTGTTATTAATTGTTTATTCTAACCATTATCTGTTGTGAAGTGGGACTTTGAACCAGATACGTTCCAGAAGCAAGCCATTGTAAAACTGGAGTCGCATGACAGTGTATTTGTTGCTGCACATACATCTGCTGGCAAGACTGCAGTGGCAGAATACGCCATCGGCCTAGCAAACAGACACAAAACCAAGTGAGAAGTAGAATATCTATACTAGTTAACGAGTAAGCTTGCTCCATAGCCAAAGACACTACGTCCATGTTGGATGGTTGTCAGGAGAGAATAATGAAAAAACCCATGCATCCAACATGGCGGCTATGAAAACCAGAAACTTTTTAAAGCTCATTATCATGTTATAGAGTCGTTAGCATGTTAAACCCGAATAATGGGAAACCATTTACCTAAATGAGTTGAAATTAATTCCAAGGACAATCTATACCTCGCCCATCAAAGCTCTTTCCAATCAGAAGTTCCGTGATTTCAAGAAGAATTTAGTGCCATCTCACCCAGAACTTGATATTGGTCTGATCACGGGAGATGTACAAATCAAACCTGAAGCTGCCTGCCTAATTATGACCACGGAGATATTACGGTATGTATGTAACAAACTTGTGTTGTCTATTGTTTGTTCAGTACCTATCAAGAATTCGTATGTAGCCTCAGAAGGTGTGAAAGAATACTTTTCGAAGATAAACTTTTAACTGTGTAATTAAGGACTTCATCAGCATCAAGTCACGTGCGTGTACTTTTCAAAGATTCTTCTTTTTCTTCTTCTTTTCAGTTCAATGCTATACAATGGATCAGACGTTATACGCGATGTAGAATGGGTAATATTTGATGAAGTTCACTACATCAACGACCCAGAGGCAAGTGAATGGTTTATTTACTAGTTGTGGCATTAACTTCGATGGATAATCTTCTATTAGCCGCGCGTCATGAAAAAATGAAATGTTGTAATTTAGAAACTTTTTTGTACATATATACTGAATATATTGTATTGATATTATCAGAGAGGAGTGGTATGGGAAGAGGTAATTATCATGTTACCTGATCACGTGAGTATCATTTTACTCTCAGCGACGGTGCCAAACACTTTGGAGTTCGCCGACTGGATTGGGTAAGTATATGTAACAAGTGCTATTCACGGTTCGAGTGAACTGTAACTAAAGGAAGTTAAATAATGATTTGATATAGAAGTGACGCTAATAAACTAGGATGGGTTGTTTTTAAATCTTAGGCGTACAAAGCGCAAGAAGATCTATGTGATCAGTACTCCCAAACGACCTGTTCCTTTAGAACATTTCTTATATACTGGCAATAGCAACAAAACAAGCTCGGAGATGTTCGTCTTGCTCGACCAGAACAATGTTTTTCAAACACGGGGTTATCAAATGGCCGCTGATTCAATAAAAGAACGCTCGTCCAAAGGAAAAGAGATGAGTGGTGCAAAGGGAGGAAGAAGTCATATGAATCTTAAATCTGTAAGTGGTTTTTAGCTTAAAGTGCTTGTTCACTAGTGGATAGCCACTTGCCTTACAGATGGCATACATGATGATCGTTTATGTCAGGTTTATCAATGGACGGATATCCTTTTACTCATGGAACAAGTACTGTAGTGTTCTTCCTTAATATGATGTTACTGAACTGATAAATATGAGTGCAGACTTGTTATTCAGTCATGTCTAATTCTAGATTACTGAAACTTTCTTTAGGAGAAAAATATCTGGCTATCCTTGGTCACGATGCTGGAGAAGAAGGAAAAGCTACCGGTCGTAGCGTTCACGTTTTCTAGGAAAAAATGTGATGATAATGCGGATCAGTTAGGTAATTTGAACCTGATAACATCTCTAGAAAGAAGTAAAACCCAAGTTCTAATGCAAAAGTATCTCGCAAAGCTGAAGGGAGGAGATAGGACGCTACCACAGGTAAGACGTTYGTTATTTACTGAATCATGCTCGGCCAGCAAACCGAGTAATATATCTGTGCGTGTAATTATTAGGTTGTAAGAATGCAAGAACTTCTGAAGCGTGGTATTGGAGTGCACCACAGTGGCATATTACCAATCCTAAAAGAGGTAAGCAATTGCCTTGTATATTAGAATTATATTTTATTGCTTATTATCCATTTCCGAAATGACTAAGACTGAACACCTTTGGACTGTTTCGTACAAAGTTGTTTAAAATAGAAATTAAATCATATGAATTAGCAAAAGCCATCCACTTATACAGATTCATGGCCAGAGGTACAATGAAAAGTCGCATTTCATCCACTGAAAACTTTCAAATAAAAATAATTAAATGAGTGGTTTTGCTTGATCTCTCGGTGTGCTAACGAGGTATTTGTTATAAATCATTCTACATTGTCAGCCTGAATGTACAAACTTCTGTTAAGAGAATCTTATATAGATTTTCACGAGTAAGCGCTCTGATTGGCTGAAAATCTACAGTATGTTATATCAGAGTATAGATTGATAGATATAACGTCAAAATCATTTATCTATGAAGCATGGGTCTCCTGGAACATTTCGGTGAGAAAATGGATTTTCCAGACTTTTCAGTTTGTTTCGACAACATTAGCGATAATGACCTAATAGATATAGCCAAAAAAAAAAAAAAAAGCCAAAAGAAATGGATGTTCTTTTGGAAGATGAAAAATAACGTGGAAAAGAAAGATTTGCCAACCTTGTAAACGATGGATCTCCTAACCTTTTATAATGTATCTTCCTTCTTAGGTCATTGAAATTCTCTTTCAAGAAGGCCTTGTAAAAGTAGGTGGTTTTTTTCTTGTTCAGCTTGCAGCATTAATATTTTGGTGTCTTTTAATCATTTTTTTCCCTTTTGCCTTTTAGCTTCTGTTTGCCACAGAGACTTTCGCCATGGGGGTTAACATGCCCGCGCGAACCGTCGTTTTCGACTCTATTAGAAAACATGACGGATCTTCTTTTAGGAATTTGCTACCTGGTGAGTATGTTCAAATGGCTGGTAGAGCAGGACGTCGTGGTAAGGACATCACTGGCACCGTTATTATACTGTGTAAAGGAGACGTCCCTGAGATGGCTGAACTGTATTCAATGATGCTAGTAAGTATTTATTACCTGCAATACATCTAGAACTTTATACGCGAGTCAGTCAGGGCTTTTAGTACCCTAACTCTATTGTAAAGTCAGCTTCCTAGTCCCCTATGGTCATGTATGGTGAGCCCCTATTGGATTACGACTACAATAGGGGCTCACCATACCAAGGGCGAATAAACCTGGCCCATGATGCAGTGTCATATGTTGCTGATAATTTGTCGCGTATCACGCCGCATTACTAATTTTGTCAGTTAACATAAAGAGCCTCGTATGATATGAGCCCACTCAGCGGATCATCGAGTATTTGCTGATCACCACCAAAATCTCAACAACACTTTTCGGAAGCTATTTCGCAGTTAGTTCTGGGTGGCTAATTGCGAAAGAAAGATCTTTATAGCTTTATTCATACTATATTTTCTCAGTGCCATGACCACAAGCATTTCAAACCCAATAAAYACGGCGGGTTAAGTAAGCCTTTGATACGCTGTCCGAAAACACCACGCAAGTCATTAACATTATTAATGATCTTTGTTATTCCAGGGTAAGCCTATTTCACTCCACTCACAATTTCGCTTAACGTACTCCATGATTCTAAATCTTCTCCGGGTGGAGCAGCTCAGAGTTCAGGAAATGATGAAAAGGAGCTTCGCAGAATTTAATGCTCATCGTGACGCAGAAACAATTAAACACGAGGCTGAGAAATTGGAGGCAAAGCTATCGAAGATAGAGAGTGTGGACTGCTTACTTTGTAACAAGGATCTAATGAGTTACCACCAAGCCTTGAGTGAACTTACCGTACTGAGGGAACAAATCAAGGTAGCACTTCCATGTTGTTGTTGTTCATTGTTGTCTGGACACCCCCTTTTTTTCCTATTCAGATTTGAAATCCCAGCATTGAATTTCACTTGAATAATAATTTCCTAAATTTTTTCTCGAATATTGTATTTAGGAGTATTATTTTTATGGCATTTCTTCCTAAGTTACTGACATCTTTGTTTTATAATCACGCAATGTCGATATCTACAAAAGGTATGCTTAGTAATCTCAATTTTTTGCCAGGTGGCAGTTCTTTCAACTTCATTTGCACAAAAAGCCCTGTTACCTGGTCGTATCATTACCCTAGAGACTCATAACAATCAAAAAGCACTAGCAATTGTGCTTCAAGTTGAATCCGACGGATCTGGTAAAAAGCTCGTGGATAAGTCGCTTACTGTACTCTCTATTCTCGACAATGGTACTGCAGGTATTATTCCACAACATCTTTTATATGCCTCGGCCAAACGCCGGTATTTACATTTAAAAATAAGAGTTGGGGGATACCGTCCTTGTTTTTGCAAGGGTAGAACATAATAGCCAGTGGCTAACAAACCTGTGGCCGTTGTTCCATGATCGAATTGGAATTTAGGACTTGCTTTTTGTGGAAGGGAAAACCAACCCGGAGAACCCAGAGGAAAAACCCTCGAAGCACAGGAGAGAACCAACAAAAAATTCTACTCACATACGACGATCGGGACTCGATCCCGGGTAACCCTGGTGAGAGGCGAGCGCTCTCACCGCTACGCCGCCCCTACTTCCCATGATCTCGTATCCTAGCATGAAGTCCTAAAGATTTGTCCGTATGCGGTCCTTTCAATCAAATCCACCATGCACCCCTCGTAATCTGGCTAATCAGCTTTATGTTTAATTTTTTGAAGGAGATGCACTCAAATCTATTAAATCCATTAAAGATGAAAATCATTTGGAACCACATGTGAAGACAAAACTTCTTCTACCTGAAGGTCGGTTTTCGTTGTACATATAAATATAAACTGACATGGTTGAGGGACACAATCAACAAAATCATCTGCAACTTCATTATTAATCTTTACAAGTGTTAATTTATAGGACCTTCCACCTACGACATATTTCAAATTAGTGTGATGGATGTTTGTGACATAACGACAAGTAAGATGAAGATTGAAGGCGATAGAATTATACAGGATCACAGAAAGAGAATGCAGCCACGGTTTAGGTAAGCACAATATTGAACAGTTACTGTAAAGAAGTGAACAATTGGCAGTGTAATCACGATTCAAAAGTTTCTAATGCCTTATATACAATCCTTTAAAATAGTCCTTTAAAAGATGGATACTGACACTCCTTTCTTAAGCGTTTCTTCTTTTACGAATATTTAGTTTTTCACGGGTTATTGAGCTATTTTGTATTATGTACTATTTTTGTATTTTTTCACGGGTCAGCGGTTTTCACTCTAAAATAGTTTTAACTTGTGTAATGCCGAACTGTTGTATTTATTGTACAGTAACGATCCCCCTTCTCGTTCAACGGTTATCGTACGGCAGGAACTTCTTCGTTTGATAGAAGCCAACCCTGAAGGCCTCGAAGTAATGGATCCAATTAAAGACTTCAACATTCGCGACCTTGACTTGGTGGATGTCCTTACTCGAAAGTGTTTTCTGGAAGATTTACTGGGTACATTCGTCTGCACCACATGCCCAAAGCTGAAACAACATGTACGTATGTTAATAGCCACTGAAGTGCACCCAAGGTTTGTCCATTTATTCCTTTTATAACGTAAAAAACATGTACGTATGTTAAT